GCTAAGTTATCTGAGATTCCATATTTAGTTTCTTGTCTTCTTAGGCGAAAATGTGCATATCAATGTAAAACGCAAACGCATCAATCAATTCTGTTTCGTCAACACGATGAGGTACTTACCACCTATTTCAGTTCTATATGTCAACTGGTTGCTCCATGGGCCGTTAGTAACAGTGTAGGCTGATACAGAGAACGCTTACCGTGTGTATTTTTGCAGTCCAATAATTTTGGAGAATTGACATTATTGACAGTAAAATTTCCTTGGTTTTTCTCTACCCGATAACATGCACGTTATAAGGTGGGTCTTTAATATTCCATTCCCACACTCATTTATGCTTACCGTCTTCAGCAGTTCTGATTACGGAGGCATTACTCAGTGGTCCTTCTCCAATTGTATAGGCCAGGATTCTAAAGCTATAAATGGTGTATTTACGAAGTCCTGACACATTCCTACTGGTAGACAAGCGATCATCTGTGATATTGATAGACTGTACTGTGCTGTTATCAAGTAGGCTGTACTGGATGATATAACCTCGTAATATACCGTTTAAACAAGTAGGGTCCTGTTGCCAAGCCATAGAGATGCTCGTAGATGATATAGCTTGTATGTTTGTGATCACTGGGGAACATTCTGGAACTGCAAATAAATATTATGCATCATGAACTTGACGATTAAAGAATTTTGAAATAAAGGTTTAAATGGGACGTTCCATGATCATTATCGTTATCGTACCTGCAGCAGCAGTTTTGGCATTGATCCAGTTGCTCCATACTCCAGCTCCATCACTTGTTAACATCCCTTTTAGTCGAACACTGTACTCAGTGTAGGGYTGTAGGTTTGTTAGGTTGTATTCCATAGTGTCATTTGGTAAAATCAAGCTTTCTATCCTACTTTTGTTCTTGAACTCCATCAAGTATGATACTACTGTTATGTTATCCATAATCCTCCATGTCAGTTGTAACGACCTTTGATGTGGAATAATTTTAGGTCCGTCTGTTTGTAACAAAGTTTATTATATTGGCAAGGTGATTTCACAAGCTGTGATTGGACAATTTGCGGTCCATAACTTACGGTACAGACCGAAAAAAGAAATGGTTCACTCAGGGTACGTTATGATCTTTTAAAACATTCGAATCTTTTTGTTAATTATTAAAATAATTAAAATAATTATTAATTATTAATTATTAATTATTAAAATAATAATAATAATAATAATAAATTATTAATTATTAAAATAATTATTAAAGATAACTTAATTTAGTCTAAAATCGGAAAGTCACGACGACATTTAATGTAAAACTTTCATAAGCGACAACTTTTTCGAGCAAGGCTCACCGCAGAGCCGGGAGTTTGAACCTATCTGAATCGAGCGGGTGAAGATCTAGAAGCCAGTGGTTTCTTTCGTTTAACGTTTAACTAGGCTCATCCGCTCTTGAAGTATTTCCATATTTCAGTTAAAATACATATTTAGAGTCTCAATTTCAGTATTTCAAGTTTGAATGTGCTTACCGAGATACGAAGTAAAAACCTCTACACGCATCGTTTTATATGTGTGGAAAGCTGTTGGTACAAACCGGATGTATCTCGCTGACTGTAGATTCTGCAAGCAACGTATCTCAACAGTTGACATATCACTGTTACCTTGAAATATCTGAAAAATGAATGCAGAAATGATTAATTACGTGTGCTTTCCGAAACTCTTTTGAAGTTCATAATTCACAATTATCGCCATAGTAATTCAATGGAACGGTAAAAAAAAAATTATCCTCAGCTTTTATCGAAGCCATATAAACATACGTCACGAGCGCCCATCATGGCCGCCACGGTTTGGCTTGCTCTTCACTCAAAACTGTTATCCATCACCTTTATTGGGCTTATATTTGTTTCATGGTTTTAAAAATAATCTGCAGTATAAGAACTCTTGCTGCCTCTTGGATATTAGCTCCTCATCAATACATCGACAAGACTGTGAATATAAGGTACAATTTGAAATGGAAATCTTCGCAAGCTTTGGCGGGAAACTTAAATTCACTTCTATAGCTCACAAAGGATTTTACTACACTAAATTACCTATTACTAAATGGAACAAGCATGGCTATATATCCTTAGCTATACCTGGCCACGATCCACCTATAAATATCACAATCTACGTTGATATCGCTAGCAATCCTGGTCCTATCCTGGACAGTTTTGATATTAACTCGAATCAATCAACTACAACACATTACCAACAATACTACTTCATCTACGTTACACAACCAGCCAACTACGATCCCTTCGAAAGAATGCATATCTACCAAAATCATCTACTATTTTGCTTCTTAAAGAACTTGAACTTTTTCGATTTAGGRGAAAAAGAGCCGGTAGAAAGAAAATCCAATCATTATCTACCACAAAATCAAAACATAATATTTATGATAATTTTCCCTACTCGAAAGCTACCTATTGTTCTGGGAACACTGTGCATTGTACATATTCTTTGTCCAAATCTTGTTTTGGTGTTTCTGCATCGTTGGACCACTAACATTAGCAATTCTAATACGCGTAAAGGAGCTAATTTATCAAATCTCCGTTTTATCAAACTTTCCAAAACAACAAACACTAAATCGCAAGCTTGTTTTGCATTGTGGAATGCTAGATCTATCTCAAAAAACTCTACTTTCACCTATGAGATTATATCAAGGAAAGTTGACATTTTAGCTCTGACAGAAACTTGGCTCCATGGAGACCAAAGGGACGACCCAGTGATCGCTGAATTGACTAACACCTTGACATGTTTCGATTTATATCACATCCCTCGCTCTGATCGACCTGGCGGTGGAGTAGCCCTACTTGTCAAGAAGGGCTTCGACGTTAAAATCTCAGTCGACATGAAAAAGTTTATCACGTTTGAATACATTGAATCCAACATCAGTATTGATAACAAGTCTTTTCATCTTATCACGGTCTACCGTCCTCCACCTAGAAAAAGATCTGGCACTTCCAGCAGCTTGTTTTTTACTGAGTTTTCAACATACTTGGAAGAGTTGGCAGTTTTGAATAATCCACTCCTGATTTGCGGTGATTTCATCCTACATATGGATGATACCACTAGCACTGATTCCAACACCTTTAAAGATCTACTATATTCATCAGGTCTCATGCAAAATGTTATGTTTCCAACACACAAACGGGGCCACATCTTGGATCTCCTTATCACTCGCACTGATGAAGAACTAATCTACAACATTGACAGTATAAAAAACACTTTATCCGATCATTCTGCTATAATATGCAAAGTAAAGCTACTTAGACCTCCACAGTGTAAGAAAGTGATTACTTTTCGCAAGCTTCGCAAGCTTCTCAAGATGGACATGGAATCCTTTCAATTGGATATGCAAAGACTTCCAGTGTGCAACCTTAAATCAGACGATCTACCGAAATAACTCGCCTCTACAATGCAAACTTATCCAGTTTACTTGATGAACATGCGCCTGAGGTAACCCGCTCAGTGACTCTTAGACCTCTATCTCCATGGTTTAATGATGATCTGAAACAATCTAAACTATACAAACGACGATTGGAAAGAAGATGGTTAAAATCTGGTCTAGAAAATGACAGACAAATCTATGCCAACCACTGTTCAGAATATTATCTAGTATAAAGACAGCTAAAAAAGCAAAGTCAGTAATGCAAATCAAAAACAACTGTTTAAAGTCATCAACAGTTTTTATCGAGTAAAAACTAACTCCATACTCCCGCAGCACGAGTGTGATCAGTCTCTGACCGATATATATTTTGTCATTTTTTCACAAATGAGATCAACGATATTCGAAATAAAATTTTTCCTAACAATACAATTGCTTGCAGCGATCCCAGTACGAACTCTGTTTTCAGCGAGTTTGAATATATGTCACCTGATTCCATCAAATCCATCATAACATCATCAAACTCAAAAACCTGCAAATTAGATCCTTTACCATCAAGTATAATCAAAGACTGTATTGTCACTTTGCTGCCTACTATATGCCATCTAGTCAACACATCGTTCTAGCTTGGAATTTTCCCATCAGATCTTAAAAAGGGTGTCATCACTCCTGTATTGAAGAAGAAAGAACTTGACCCTGAGGTTTTGGCTAACGATCGCCCAATCACAAATTTACCATTTCTCTCGAAAGTCCTAGAGAAATGTGCATTGTCGCAGCTTTATTCATACTTGACGCAAAATAACTTATTTCCAATCAGAAAATCAGCCTACCGTAAGAACTACAGTGTTGAAACTGCCCTACTTCGTTTGTCAAACAACATCTTACAAGCTATTGATAAACACAATGAGATTATACTTGTATTACTGGATTTATCACTGCAGCATTTGACGCTATAGAGCACCAAGTATTACTTAATCGACTTACGGTTAGGTTTGGTTTCACCGATCTTGCTCTTAATTGGCTAGCTTCCTACCTTAATTGATCGTAAACAGAGTGTTCGAATTGGACGCGTTCTTTCTAACGAAACAAACCTGTGTTTTGGAGTACCACAAGGTTCTGTACTCGGGCCTGTATTGTTCTCTCTATATTTTGCTCCGATAGAGGACATTATTTTTTCACATAACTTACAGCCCATGCATTATGCAGACGACACGCAGATCTATCTTACATTGGGAAACGAACATGAAGTCACTGTAGACAAGTTCGAAAATTGTATCAAGCACATCATAGGATGGTACTACAACAATTTCTTGCTATGCAACACAGATAAAACGAAGGTGATCCACTTTTCGTCTAAATTCACCAGCGCTGAACCCATCCATGTGGTTAACATTGGAGCTGATGCTGTACAGTTAGAACCTGAGGTGTGTAATCTGGGTATCATGTTGGACAAACATCTGGTCATGACTAAGCAAATTAATGATGTATGTAAATCGTCCTATCTTTCACTGCGTAACCTTGGAAAAATCAGGAACTACCACTGAAAAACTAGTTCATGCTTTTGTGTGCTCCAAAATTGATTTCTGTAATAGCCTGCTTTTTGGTATTCCGATGAAGCAACTTGACAAATTGCAACGTATATTAAATGCAGCTGATCGCATTACCATCAGAGCAAAGAAATTATAACGCATAACACCTATACTCGCAATCGTCTTCATTGGTTGAACGTTGCCAAAAGAATTGAATTCAAGCTTTTAACGGTCACATACAAAGCTATAAACGGTATCGCTCCATCCTATATAAGTGATATTCTCAAAATACACCAACCTACTCGTAAGCTAAGGAGTGCCACACAAGGAGTAATTTTAAAACAA